CGTGGCACATTCCCAGACGTTTTGCCGGCATCGTTAGTGAGTCTCGGCATTCTTAGCACAACACATCTCGTCAAAGAGACAAGTGAATCCGATCCTCTGACCAAACGTGTGCTAAACAGTTGTGGAATCTCCCCTTCTGCCCTGGGCTATTCAAATTTCCTATATCCTCCTATCACACCTTCCCTCTTACAATTTTTTCCCTTGGTTATTTAAATCCAGTGTGGTGCGAAATTTTGAGCGGCTTTCATGAGAACCCTCCGCACTTCATGCTGGCGTTGTCACCACCATTCACCCTTATGCTGGGAATGTTGATCAGAGTCGGCCATATTGTTACGCAGTCCTCTTTCTCTAGGTCTTATCTCAGTCTCCCTTTTGCCCCGTAGAATCCGTCTGCTATCGCCATGGTTCAAGCATTTCACTCTACCTTTACCACCCCATCTGTGCTACTTGGGGCATTATTTCCCATTCTCTGCGTCTGAGTGAATAATTCGAGGCTAAAGCCCCTGAATAAGTCTCATGGTCACGCATTTGCTAGATGGACTACGTCACTGGTAAAGCCTACTGTCAGCCAACTAGCTCCAGTCTCCACCGCGTTTATCCTGTTTATATTCCTGATACCAAGTCTATGACTTCCCCTACCCTAGTCTCTTGTGTGCTTAATGTTGAACCACAACGTTTGTGGGTTTGCACAGAAGATACTAGAACAGGGGAACATCAAAGAATCTGCACGAACATGGATACGGAAAAATCCGAAATAGCGGAACACATTTTACGATAGGGGAACGAAATCAACCGAAAGGTTGGCTGCATATGGTAAAAATATGAGAAAACGCAAGATGGAAATACTGACTGAGAGAAATCGAATGAATAAAAGACTTGAAGAAGGCAGGATCAGCGAAAACTTTGTATATTGCCTAAGCAAACTCGGAGAAGACCAGGCAATGGTAGGATCAGCAAAAAGAAAACAACTGGATCAAGGTAATATCCTTAATTTAGGAAAAGAAATCGCAAGGGAACCAGAAAAGAACAAGCAAAAGTTAAAAGGAGACATCTTCAGTGAGCCTAATCAAAACATGTAGAATCACAAAATTTGTGTGTTGACACACAAGAGACTATGAAATAGAAAGTGATAGACATGGTATTTGGGATAGAAATAGGATAGACGCGGTAAAAATTAGAGCTATTTGGCTAACAATAGACATGTTTGAACATAAACGTGATCCATCAAGCACATCTATTTTTATTCAACTAGCAATAGCCTCCACCTTATCTATCTTGTTTCTATCCGTAATACCAAGTACATGACTTGCTATGTCTTAGTCTCTTATGTGCCGACCCACAAACATTGTGGTTCAACAATGAACCTAACCAAGGCAAGCAGTACCACAACATTTGTGGTACTGGTATTACTGATAGAAACAGGATAGACGTAGCGGAAACTGGAGCTAGCTGGCTAACGGTAGACGTGTTTGATCATAGACATGGTCCATGAAGCAAACTTGACCATGATAATTTCTCGTGGTATTTAACCTCAAGTTAGTCTCTCAGGCGCAATGCGAGAAATAAAGCCTCGAGTAGTATAGATAAGATGAAAAGTTTCATATAAAACAATTGAACGAGGGAGATAGCAGACGGATCCTACGGAGTAAGTGAGAGGCTCTGATAAGACCTGTGGGAGGAGGACTGCGGAGCAATATGACAGACTCTGACCAACATTTCCAGTACAAGAGTGAAAGACTGTGAGGGAGGCGAGAAGGCCAGTGTAGGGTATAAAGAGTTCTCATGAAATCTGATCAAAAGGGCACACCATATCACATTTAAATAATCAAGTGAAAAATTGTGATACTGAATAGGTGATACGAAGATATAGGATTGATGACTAGCCCATGGCGGAAGGAGAAATACCACGATTGTTTGGCAGACAATTGGTCAAAGGATCGGCTTTACTTGTTTCTTTGATGAATTGTAACTTGGTGCTAAGAATGGCAATGCTTACTGACGATGCCAACTTCGATGCCATCGAAAAGTTTCGGAATATACCACGTCCACGTTCCGAATCTGGAGATTAGCATGCATGCTATGGACTACGGACTAGGTGGGTTTCCCTAAGTCTTCCTATCAGTATGACCAAGTTGCGAAAACAAGACCAAGCAACTACTAATGCCGTTAAGTTGAACCAGTAAAGTTTTATCAACATTTTTTTTCGAATATGAATATTATTTTTTTGAAAAATAAACAGCCAGAGATCTGATTACAGAAAAATTTTCCCTATCAGCCATAAAATATTACCTGGGCTGTCAAAATCAGCTGCACCACGAAGATATTTCCCACTATTTAAATCGAAGCGAGCCTCCGTTAAGGCATCAGACTTTGCCTCGCCAAGAAGTAAATTTAATATTCCTTGGGTCCGGCCAGCAGCTCCGACTGCATTAGACCGACCACTGACAGGAATGCCAATGCTGGCAGCCGCTGTTCCTGCGGCGACAAATAAGGGAAGAGCCCCAGGCGGACCAGCCAAACCAAAAGAGGCAG